AGGCCCATTAGAATAGCATAACCTGCAAAGGATTCTTCTTTTGATTGACCTTTGACCGATATATGAATGTTTCAAAATATAGATTTTTCATTTTTTTTATAATTTTTCTAAAAATACTACGTTTTGAAACATTCATATCTCGGCCAAATGTCAATCAAAAGAAGAATCCTTTGCAGGTTATGCTAGTCTAATGGTCCTCTACTAATGGGAAAAATATGAGTTCAAAATCTTGAAATAACTTGGGTGACCCTCATTAGATGTTCCCAGAAAAAGCTTCAGATCTCCCTCATATAAGGTCAAAGTCAGCAGTTTTTTTCGGCCAAAGCTGTTTTCTGACCACGACCCAGCTAACTAGAACGAAAAAAGTCGATAAAAAAACTTTTTCCAAAAACTGGTTGTATACCCATGGATTCACCCAAATGTAATAGTGAATGGAATGCATAACAGTGACAATATAATGAAATAATCTGTATGAGACGTTTCGACTTTCTTCGAAGTTATTGATTCATGTAACAAGTTCAATTTTGAGTCACCAGTGTACTGCATAGTATTATTTCATGCGTATAAGAACCCTAATATGGCACCCCGAATCGTACATGTTGCAAATTTTGTCCTGTTATCTAGCCTTTATTACAGAAAACTAGTATTACTTCAATGGAACCAAACAGAACTGAAACTGCTTGTTTTTGAACGCTGTGGAACCCAGACATAGTTCAACTGGTTGTGAAAAAATGGTTCCGAACAGAACACGAACTAATTTGCCGAAAATGAACACAAATCGAACGGAACTGAATTGAGCAACATCTGATTCGATTCGGTCGCTGAAGTCTATCTGTTAGAATCGGGTACTAATTGTCGCGCCAAAGGATTATATAATTTTTCCAATCAATTCGATGAGCAGTCGCTCATTGATGATTAGCTAATGCCTAGAAAGAAGGAGTTGAGGTAGTAGGTATTTTTTTTCTTATCAAGTTGTGGCCACTGTATGGAGCTGTGTTATCACTAGTTACGACGTCGATCATTGCCGTCTTCTGGCTATGAATTCTAGACGCTCTACGTAGTGTTGCCGATGTGGATTGTGATGATTCATTTGCTTTTGTGCGGTCATTCGTCGGATTAGATGATTATTTGTTTATTTCAAAGTTAATATCGAACATGTTCATCGGGGTATCATGTTGTAGCATGCGCCGTACGGCTTACTATTCCGTCTTCCGATGTTCAATTGCAGATGCTTTCGAAGGAGTTCTTTCCGAATAAAGAACGTTTGAACTGATCGGGACGACTTGTCGAAGTACCGCGCGTCGATGTCAGGTCGAACTTTGCATGTTATCTGTTTCAATTTTGACTTCAGTTGTTCCGTCGCCGAGCCGACACACGGGATGTGAGTGTGGGTGGGTGTGAGAGTGAGGATGTCCGGTAGTAGAAAAACACCCGTATCCCACACCCACAGCGGCACCCACACCCTTCTAATATCTATGCTTCGACGGTCCACATTAATTACTGATTCGATTGATTGTAATTTGAGAAAGATTATCTGTTTATACTACGATGATACTTTTCTCTCGATGATAATAAGCCGTTTGGAAGATGAAACTCAGGCATTGTTGTTGAAAGTTTTCTTTATCACGTCATGTTACAAGCCTGCTTTATACGAACTGCTTTAGAACACGATAACATCGTGCCCTCATACAGAGCGCCACTAATCGAGGTTGTTACTCCGTGATAATTTTGGTCTTATCATTCGAGCCTTTCCATTCTCTTTTTAATATGATAACGACAGTATATATACTGCCTCATGATAGTCTTATTCTTTACTGCTACATCGACCTGTGCTGTTGAGGAAAGAACACAGAGACAGGTATGAATAGTGACGAAATATTACCGACGATGCTCGATGCAGTAATTGTTGGTGCCGGTTTCGCAGGTCTTTACATGTTGTATCGCTTACAGGAGCAAGGTTTTTCAGCAAGGATTCTTGAGGCTGGTGATGGTATCGGTGGTACATGGTATTGGAATCGTTACCCAGGCGCACGATGTGATCTTGAAAGCATGCAATATTCTTATTCGTTCTCGGAAGAATTACAACAAGAATGGAAATGGTCGGAAATATTCGCTTCTCAGCCGGAAATCTTGTGTTATCTCAATCATGTTACTGATAAATTTGATCTACGTAAGAACATTCAACTCGGTAAACGAGTGAGTGCAACCGTTTTCGACGAAACTCAATTACGTTGGGAGATAAAGACAGATCAAGGAGACCGATTCTTTGCCAAGGTTTGCATCATGGCCACCGGTTGTCTCTCAACAGCTCGCATTCCACAAATCAAAGGTCTTGATGTTTTCACAGGTAACCACTATCATACAGGTCGATGGCCACATACGAATATTTGCTTTACTGGACGCCGTGTGGCCGTCATTGGCACCGGTTCATCTGGTATACAATTGATTCCGATGATCGCCGAACAAGCAGATCATGTCTTTGTTTTTCAACGAACGCCAAATTTCAGCATTCCATCTCGCAATGGGCCTCTTGAAGCCGAATACGAACAATGGTGGAAATCGAATTATGCAGAGTATCGACGACAGATCTTAGAAACGCGCGCTGCATATATGCCCAAAAACAGCAAGAATATCTCAGCAATGGCTGTTACACCAGAGGAACGACAAGCTGAATTCGAGAAAAGTTGGCAAATTGGCGGTCTTCTTTTTCAAGGAACCTTCAATGATCTCTTCTTCAACAAAGAATCCAACAATGAAGCAGCTGAATTTGTACGCAATAAGATCCGTGAAACTGTCAAAAGTCCTGAAGTGGCCGAAGCTTTGGTTCCACAGAATTATCCATTTGCTACCAAGCGTCTTTGTGTAGACAGCAACTACTTCCAGACCTTCAATCATGACAATGTGACGTTAGTTGATCTTCGAAACGGATCAATTGATGAAATAACGTCTAATGGTATTCGTATCCAGGAAAAAACCTATGAAGTGGACGATATTGTGTTTGCAACTGGATTCGATGCGATGACTGGAGCTTTGCTGAAAATTGATATACGTGGCAGTTCTGGCAAGACACTCCAAGATAAATGGGCGGAAGGGCCTCGCACCTACCTTGGTTTGATGATGGCCGATTTTCCAAATTTATTCATCATCACTGGTCCTGGTAGTCCATCAGTGCTGGTCAATATGGTTGTTGCTCTCGAACAACATGCCGATTGGATAACTGAATGTCTGAACTATCTTCGTACGCACCATTACGATACGATTGAACCGCAGGTAGTGGCAGAAACTGACTGGGTCCTTCATGTTAACGCGGTCGCCAATTCAACTCTCTATCCTGTGGCGAATTCATGGTACGTTGGAGCAAATATCGATGGTAAACCTAGGGTTTTCATGCCATATGTAGGCGGTTTCAATGTGTATAGACAAAAGTGCCAGGAAATTGTCAACAATGGCTATCAAGGCTTTAAGTTTGTAACAGGTATCCATTAAATTCTATGACTGAAAAATTGTTAAAATCAGTACCAGAAATCAATTTAAAAAAAACACAACAGAATGTTAACACTCATGCTTAATAAAAAGGACGATCGAACTATAAGAAGATATCGCTGATCGCATTATCAGACAAGAAAGCAGAAAAAAGTCGATCAGTAAAATTAGGTTGTTCATTGCAAAAGCTCCAAATGTAGACGAAAGAAATAAAAAAATTCAAGCTATGTGCGCGGAGTACCTAATTTGTTCCTGTTAGTAACACTAAGATCGTGCTTTCGCGCGGTCGCATCAGTTTGTGTTGCATGCCATCCGTGTGATTTGAGAAAGATCTACTTCATAGTGAGTGTAAATGTGGTGTGCTTGTGAGTATGGTTATGGGTCTCTGATTGTGGCATTTGATGTAAGTGTTGGGGTTTATGTATATGGATATGCTTGTGAAGTTGAGAAATCGCTGATGCACACTCATGTCTATACCTCATACTCTACACTAACAATTACACGCACACTACATCTGAAACACGTACTCACTAATGATGAGTTCGATGTAAAAGTCATTGTGTTGCATCTTGAGAGTGCGAGTGTGGAAGTGTGGGAGTTTCATTTTAGAGACCACCCACCTACACCCTATCTAAATTGGAGGCTTGAAACAATAATGAAGTGTTTGGAAAAAACGAAATGAGATTTGTCTCATTTAATCTGCGCCACTCATTGCATACTAAAAGGCTCGAGATGCGTTTCAAATGAATAAAAAATGCCACGTAACAACTTAACAGAATCGGATTCTTACTTTCGATTTAATTTTTGAGAAAAATAATGATTGCTTTTTCGGAATAGTCCCAATTTTTCGGACTTCTTCCAGAAAAGCTTTGGCAATACTAAACAAACAATATTTTTAAAAATTGGTCGCTGCTGAGTTGTAGCAATATGTGCTGAGTACATTTTTGACACCAACCCGAATTCTGAATCAGTGGCCATTCATGTTACGTTAAATCGTCAATAACTGAATATGATTCACTCAATTTTTTACTGTGAACTATCTACAATCAGACACACATGCCTTGAAAATTTCATCAAGATCTGCTGTCTAGGGACAAAAATATACTTTTGACAGGGGAAAGACCGTAACGACTGTTGAAATAGCTGTATGACGGAATCAGCTATTTCCAATTTGGGGTGACATATGATCGACAAAATATTTATGTGCCAAGCTGTACATGGAATACAATTGAACAGTACATCATCAGTTGACGGCCGTCTTCTATCAGGAGAAATTCTGATGATATCGGACGAATTAACGCCGACTACAGCCGACATGTTAGCACATTGATCACTGAATGGTGAACAATAGTCAGTTATAATTGCGACATCATCCGCATAGTTTGAAAGCCAAGACTGTCCATGCCTTGATCCCTCAGCAGCAACAACAACAGCTCTTTTCATTGATCAACATGAAAAGCAGTGTTGCAATCAAGAGGGTTTTTCCAGACCGGACCGGTATGAGTCATTGTTCGTTTTTCTCATCTTGTACGAGTCACATCAAGCGTAGTATCACTATCGAAATACTTTTGAGAAGCATGATTTTCAATGAATATTCAAGTCGAGAGAGGAACAGCGAACTTTAAGACTTAAGTAGACTTCAAAAGATTTCTGGACTTCATAGAATTTCCCAACCGAAGTGTCCGTTGTTCCCCTCTCGATTGAGGTACACAACGCGATATTGGCTCCCATCTTTCCCGCTGACTTCAAAAATCGCTGCAAAGATGCCGGTGCCCTATTAATCTAGTAACAGAGATTTTAATGTGTGAACTTGCTTAACCGATTTTGCGATACGCTACCTTCTGGTCTTATAATAATTTTTCATTTAGATGATGAGGTTTCCCGTTTTGGTTCCCAAAATAATTACAGTAGCTCCATCGTGTTCAATACTTTAATTGTGTAGGGATTGCATTGAAAGCTTGTTCTTCACTATATGTTCTTATAGGTTTTCTTCCTTTTTTGGCAACTATTGATGAACATAATTAGCTTTCCATACTAATGAAATATTCATCACACATAGACATTTTGAATCAACTGTAAACTTACTGTACGTCTCTCATAGGTTTACTCTGCAATTTATTTTGTCTCTGCGAAAAATATTGTATAAATAATACGAAATAAAATCAATTAAGTAACAAATTACAATGATAAATAGTGATTTCATTTTGTTTCGATCATGTTACTCGATGTTGAAGCGATTTGATAAAACATATTAGGTATTTTTTGATGAATATTAACCCAATGCAAATATTCTTATTCATGTTTCTTCATAGAAATAGTCATTGATACCATAAATCTAATGCAAAAATAAACACCTCTATGATCAATTTTTGGAAAAAAATATATGTGAGAAATCGAAAAAAGTTTAGACCGAATCGGAACGATTCCTATCAAAAATTGAGTCTATGGGTTTTTTTATTTCAAATTGAATTTTGAAAAAAAAATAACACCTCATTTTTACCAAGACAAANCAAATTGTCGTTTGAAAGAAAAACAAATGAACTATAGGCTATTTTAGCCTACAAGCATTCTCCGTCTTGGTATGAAACGGTCATTTTTCATTGAAGAAAAAAAAAGATAACAAGAAAACTAGTTGGGCAGTGTTCAAATATGCAGGCTATGTCTGTTTCAAGCGAGATGAAATCAAGAAAAAACAGCCGTTTGTCTGAAAAATTGTTTTTTGTAAGTATCTTGAGATGGTTCATGAGCTATGCATATGACGATATTCAAATGAAAACTATTGGCAACCTAGAGTTCCCTATAAAATCGTATCTCAATACTTTGTCTGATTGATAAAAAATAAAAAAGTAGATAAATAAGCATTTTAGTTGATAAATTAAATAACAATTCAAATAATAAAGAAGATGAATTGGAAACATCTATAGACATTCTATGAAACACAAAATGCATTATTAAATGCACCATAGATTGAGATCGATATTTTATAATGATTGTTGATCGAGATACTATATGAAAAACAAGATGTAATAGTAAGCTAGATATATCTTCTTTATTTAAATTCATTTAAATGTAAAACAGCATCAAAAACATTAAATTCAAAATTTTATTTAAATAAATTTATATTGATTACATTTATGATAAATATCTTCAAAATGAAGAATTAAAAAGACTTGAGACAAAAATATGAAACTATGACTATAGGTTGTGAATTGAAATATTCACCTTCTCGATATCTTATTTAATCAAAAAAGATATGTACCATTTTCACCTATTTTTGGATTTAAGTAACATCCTAATTCATCATCAGGTATGTAAGCTAAAGTTTGATTGCTCCTGTATTCATATTATTATTAGAAAAAGCTTTAAAATTTCACAAAAAATGGCGTACATCAGTAAGATTACAACAAATGATTCCATGATATTATTAATTTATTCAATTAAAAGTTTTATATCCTAAAAAATTTCTTATTTCAACAATATATATTGAAATAGTTTGGCACACAGATTTGTTAAGACCTTTTAATATATCAAAATGATTGTCTTCGATTATTTCGTCAAATTATTGATCATTCATTATTGTGAAATTGTACTGACCAACTTTTTAAAGAACAAGCTGTTTTAGATACTTCATATTTATATGAAAAATATTGTTCATTACCATAATATAAAAATGATAAGTATTTTCATCTTTGTTATGATAGATTTCAACATTTAATTCGAATTTATTCTGATTGAAATGAAGCATATGTTGAATTTTCATCATATCCGCTTGATGAGTATGAAAGTCCATTTTCATTTACAAAAGTTGATATTATTCTTGATGCAAATTGGATTAATTTATGCAAACACTTTATGAATTATATCTTTTTGAAAAAATATATGGGGTTTGGTGATTCTAATCCATTACAACCAATTGATTTAAAATCATCAGCAATGAAACGAGTAAAAAAATCTTATGAAAGATTTTTATATACAACTGCAAAATATCCACCAAGTAAACAAGGGCTCAATATGATGCAGTATAAATTTGTTCAGATATTTCGATCGTTATTCGATCATTATCAATGAAACTTACGATAAAAACTAGAGATGAAAATAGTATTTACAACAGAAAAGAAAGAATATACTCGATGCTTCTCTCTCTTCTTATCTCTATATGTGCGCATATGTGTAGAAAAACAAAAAATTACAAGTATATTGTTTCTTTTCTATTATAAATACTATTTTTCTCTATAATTTTTATCATAAATTTCATTCATAATGATCGAATAAGGATCGAAATATCTAATGGTGAGCTCATGATCTGCACGAATAATGTAACACCCCTCAACTGTTATACCAGGTTGTATAGCACCAAAATTTCACGAAAGCGCAATCTCGTGTATAGTATTCGACGTGGCATGAGCACATCAACAAAAAGATCACAGTTTGTTTCTCGATTAAAGATCCTTTTAAATCTGATTTTCCACACAGAAGACTGTAATCATTCTTGAAGAGATTTTTATGGTCTAATAAAATTGTATTCTTCATAAGCTATGACGAGTGTTCCTATGCACTTAGCTATTTGGTTCAAGCTACGAAAATTGAAAAAATGAAATCAGTATTAGTTTGATTAATATCAAAATGTTCGAATTCAGTTATATCTTTTGTGAGTTTTGATTGGATTCGTCGTAATTTGAAAAAGATCATTTTGTTATACTACGACGTTACTTTACTCTCGATGATCATGAGCCGGTATGAGGGTGTAACTCATGCATTCTTGTTGGAACTTTCCTGTATTATATAATGCTACCAGTCTTTTTTTATACGAGCTGTTTTAGAACACGAGAACATCCTACTTTCATACACAGCACCACTTATTATTGTGTTATTTTCTCCATGATATTTTTGTTCTTATCATTCAAGGCTTTCGTTTCTATTCTTTACTCGATAATGATAGAATATATAGTACTACCTCGTGGTAGTTTTATTCTTTATTACTACATCGACTTGTGTTGTTGACATAAAGAGAACATAGAAATAGGAATGAATAATGACGAAATATTACTGAAGATGCTGGACGCAGTAATCGTGGGTGCTGGCTTCTCAGGACTTTATATGTTGTACCGCTTACATGAACAAAGTTTTTCAGCAAGAATTCTTGAAGCTGGTGATGGTATCGGTGGCACATGGTATTGGAATTGTTACCCAGGTGCACGTTGTGACATTGAAAGCATGCAGTACTCCTATTCATTCTCGGAAGAATTGCAACAAGAATGGAAATGGTCGGAGATATTTTCTTCTCAGCCAGAGATCTTGCGTTACCTGAATTATGTTGCTGATAAATTTGATCTTCGTAAGGATATTCAACTTGGTACTCGAGTGAATGCGGCTTTTTTCAATGAGACACATTCATGTTGGGAGATACAGACAAATCGAGGGGATCGACTCTTCGCCAAGTTTTGCATAATGGCCACGGGTTGTCTTTCGACAGCTCGCGTTCCACAAATGAAAGGACTTGATATTTTCAACGGCTCTCACTATCATACAGGTCGATGGCCACATACAAATATTTGCTTTAATGGACGTCGTGTGGCCATCATTGGCACGGGCTCCTCAGGCATACAATCAATTCCGGTCATTGCCGAACAAGCAGATCATGTCTTTGTATTTCAACGAACACCAAATTTCAGTATTCCGTCTCGCAATGGACCCCTCAAAGCCGAATACGAACAATGGTGGAAATCAAATTATGCAGAGTATCGACGGCAGATCTTCGAGGCACCCTTTGGATTCATAGTCAAAAACAATAGGAATGTCTCAGCAATGGCTATCACGTCAGAGGAACGTCAACATGAATTGGAGAAAAGCTGGCAAAATGGTGGTCTTGATTTTTTATTGAGCTTCAATGATCTCTTTGTCAACAAGGAATCCAATGATGTAGCAGCTGAATTCGTACGCACTAGGATCCGTGAAACTGTTAAAAATCCCGAAGTGGCCGAGGCTTTGGTTCCACAAAATTATCCAATAGGTACCAAACGTCTGTGTGTCGACAGCAACTACTTTCAGACCTTTAATCGTGACAATGTCACGTTAGTTGATCTTCGAAACGGACCGATCGATGAAATAACACCCAGTGGCATTCGTATCAAGGAGAAAGTCTACGAAGTGGATGATATTGTGTTTGCAACGGGGTTTGATGCGATGACTGGAGCTTTGCTGGAAATTAATATTTGTGGCCGTTCTGGCAAAACAATTCAAGACAAATGGGCAGAAGGTCCACGCACCTATCTTGGCTTGATGATGGCCGATTTCCCGAATTTATTCATCATCACCGGCCCTGGTAGCCCATCGGTACTGACCAATATGCTTCCTTCTATTGAGCAACATGTCGATTGGATAGCCGAATGTCTCAACTATCTTCGTACGCATCATTACGATACGATCGAACCGCAAGTCGAGGCAGAAAATGCCTGGGTCCTTCATGTTAGTGAAATTGCCAATGAAACTCTCTTTCCTCTGGCGAACTCATGGTACGTTGGGGCGAATATCGATGGGAAGCCCAGAGTCTTTATGCCATATGTAGGCGGCTTGAATGTGTATAGACAAAAGTGTCAGGAGGTTATCAAAAATGCCTATGAAGGCTTTACGTGTGCAAAAGACACTCACTGAATCATGCAGCTAAAAAATCGTTAAAATCACTGCCAATAACCAATTTCTTTTTTTAATAGCAGGATGTGAACATTCGTTCTTAATAAAAAAGGTTCTTTCTACATTTACATTTTCTTATATTGTTATGAATTAAATCTCAAGATAGATATTCATTTTTCTCATACACTATTAAAATTGGTGGCGTCAACGATATTATTAATCTTAAACAAGCTCTTAGTCATACATTCCCGTAAGATCGTTTCATGTTTTTTTGCTTTTGGACAAAGTATGAATAATCAATTATTTTAGGTGACTCATTCGACGTGTTCACCGAAAAAGCTATCAATTGCTATAATTGTTGGCTCGACCGATCCGACCTTTAGTCGTTATGTGACTCGCCTATGTGAACATAAATGATTCATTCATTTAAATATGAGTTTTAAGTACAAACATTTTTTTTTTCCGAATATCGAAAGCAGGACCGTTGTCCAGTGGAAACTATCAAAGAAATGGATAAAATGGCTATTGATTTACTTTGAAAATTTGCGAAATCATGTGGCAATACTCTACTGAATAGAGTTGTTTTCTATCAGGACGGTGTTGACGATGAACAATTTCAAAAATACTTGATAATGAAATTCAGAAAATTAATTCGGCTTTTGAAGTTAAAAAGTGTCTCGATTGAATTGATGGTCGATGGCACAAATCCATTGCTTTGTTTAACATTTATCGCTGTTAAAAAACGCAACAATACATATTTCTTTGCTTAATATGATTAGACTAATAAGTAATGCTGAAGCGGGCATCGTTGTCGGCCAAGATATTACACATCCGTTGCAATTCAATTTCTATTTATGTTCACAAAGTGCTATGCAAGTTGTTCTATTTTGATATATAACGACATCGATTTGTCTTTTTTGTTTTCAAGAACCGATGCATCATGTTCGGCTCTCTATGACATTCTACTGGATGACAATGGATTCCGTAGTGACGATATTTAACAATTGACATACTGGATATTGAACTTTTTTCTTACCGAATTTTTAAAACAAAAAAGCTCCAATTCAACAAACCAAATTCATTTCGGCACTAGTAACGATCGCATTTTTGACAGATAATTCATTCTAAAGTAATTCTAGTCGAATTTTCTTTGTAATGAATTTCCATGATTTCTCTCTTAGTGACGATCGTAACGATGAATTAGAGAATATGTCAATTGACGATATCAGAACAAAAGTTATGATACAGAATGATAACATTCACAATACGTTGTGGTTTATTTGAATGAAGAGAGAACTTAATTTTAACTTTCATAAATATCTCCCTAAACAACAAGATTTCAGAGATATTTTATAAAGAAGATCGTGTTGTCTTTAATGAAAGTTTCGAACTGTTGAAATTTCAGTCTTGAACACGTTCATAAGACAGTTAGGTACTGGATTTGAATTAATTACTTTCATTTCTATTCTGCACTAGTCAACAAATGGATATCTCCTTCTATTTTTCACTAGCTCATCCACAACAAAAGATTCACAAAATGCTAAATCGATTTACGTGCGGGACAATTTTCAAAAAAGAACGTTGATTGTCATGCCCAACTACCAACTCCAGAATGATCGGAGTGTTTGAATCGTTGAACCTAAGCTATAGAACTTTTGGATAGCTTCTTTGTAACAACATTCATTTTCTATGAAATTCTTCTCAAGCACAACGTTTTGCATTGCATTTGGTTGATAATACCAATGGAAAATATTTCCTAGCTATTCTTTTGAAATCTAGTGGTTTTATTTGATAGTCATTCTATGATTCGATCTGTTTTGAAACCGACCTTCTTGTTCTCCGTTGCATCTCATATTAAGATATTGATAAATTCAACATGACATAGAACTCGACTTTGGTCAAGTATCCGTGCGAATTATCAACGTTTATTCACGTCTACATGTCCCAATTCAATCTCATTCGATTTAGCTTCATATAGAGTCAGACAAAATCTCGACACATGTCCAAATATGATCTCTAATTGTAATTTCGATAAATTTTAATTCTGAACAAATTTCGAATTGTATAAAGAAAAATTCGATCTGTGTTGAGCATTGCATAAGAAAATGAAGA